TGTGTGTGTGTGTGTGTGTGTGTGTGTGTGTGTGTGTGTGTCTATAAACTATGGGGTGCCTCTACAATCAGCACATTGATAGCTAGATGCTAACTGTAGAACAGATAAATCCAGCTCATATTTTAAGCAACAGTATGTTGGCTCAACATTAGTGCACTAGAATAAAATGGTTTATGGGAGAAAATGGTCTCTCAAGTATTCTAATGGAGTCAAGGATACATTGCTAATCCCACTTCACCTAACACCCAGCAGCCAGGTTTCCTGACTCATCATTGAAACACCCTAAATGATGACTAGGAGTAGAGTATGCTGTGCTCTGTGCAAATAGGAGTACGTGCAAAGCACAGAGCTACTACAGAGCAAGGAGCGATAAGTTCTGTTGTGGATTCAGAGGCAACCAGAGAAAGCATCACAGAAAGAAGTATCAAAACACAGATTGAGGAAGATAAATAAGACCTTAAGAGATGGACAAAGAAATGGTGTGAACTGATCTGTTTAATGTTTAATGGATGTTCATATGTATGAAGATTCTGTTTCTTTTTTTAACAGGCGTTGGGGTCGATGACATGTTTATCATGATTTCTGCCTGGCAGAAGACCAACCTCATGGATAGCATAAAAGAACGGATGTCCAATGTCTATTCAAAAGTGGCAGTGTCCATTACAATCACCACCATCACCAACATCCTGGCCTTCTATACAGGAATTATGACCTCTTTCAGGTCCGTACAATACTTCTGCATCTATACAGGAACAACCCTTCTCTTTTGTTATTTTTATAACATCACCTGTTTTGGAGCATTTATGGCCCTGGATGGTAATAGAGAAGTAGTTTGTCTATGCTGGTTGCAGAAACCAGAAACTCCTGACCAAAAATGTTCCTCGTTAAAAAAGGCCTCCCATGTAATTCTCTCCGAGACAAACATAAAGCTGATATCCGCCCAATGAATTTGTTCTTTAGAGACTATTTTGGTCCTTTTCTCACAAGCACTGAGTCCAAGTTTTTGTAGTGCTTATATACATTTTGTACATCATAAGTAGTATATATGGGTGTTTCCAAGTGCAGAAAGGTTTAGACCTCTGAAATTTGGCAAGTGATGACTCCTACATCACACCGTATTTTAATGTAGAAGAAGAACATTTTTCAACTTATGGTCCCAGGGTTATGCTTATTGTTACTGAAGCTCTTGACTGTTGGGAAGGAGATGCTAGGCAAAAATTGGAAAAATGTCTTGTAGATTTTGAAAACAGTGACTATGTAGATTAAAATCTTACAGAGTTTTGATTACAAGAATATGTGAAATATATGGGGCTTCCCTGGTGGCTCAGTGGTTGAGAGTCCGCCTGCCGATGCAGGGGACACAGGTTCGTGCCCCAGTCCGGGAAGATCCCACATGCCGCGGAGTGGCTGGGCCCGTGAGCCATGGCTGCTGAGCCTGCGCGTCCAGAGCCTGTGCTCCGCAACGGGAGAGGCCCCAGCGGTGAGAGACCCGCGTACTGCAAAAAAAAAAAAAAAGAATATGTGAAATATATGGAAAACCACCATCACGATGTAAATGATAACTTTTGTAAAAAATATTCCCAATTTTGTAATAGATTCTCCGCTTTTTATGTATGATATTAACATTACATCATCACAGGAAATCATCTGTTCCCGGGCCTTCATTCAGACCATGGGTGTTTCTTCTTCAACCAATAAGAAGCTGATGTTACTCCAGTTCCGAGACATGGCCGAAAAGTGTGAAATTCCCTTAATGGTGTATAACCAGGCGTTCATATATTTTGATCAGTATTCTGCAATAGTAGAAAACACTGTTTGAAATGTAATTGTTGCCTCAACGCCTATGTTCATTGTTTCCTTACTGTTAATCCCTCACCTGCTGTGTTCTTTGTGGGTAACTTTTGCTATCGCTTCTGTGATTTTGGGAGTAACGGGTTTCATGGCATTCTGGAACATCAATCTTGATTCCATATCCATGATTAATCTTGTCATTTGTATAGGGTTTTCTTTTGATTTTTCTGCCCACATTTCCTATGTATTTGTTTCCAGTTCAAAGCCCTCAGTAAACCAAAAAACCATCGAGGCATTGTATCTGCTAGGCTACCCTGTGTTGCAAAGTGCAATTTCAACAATAATAGGAGTGTGTGTCTTATCTGCAGCTAAAGCATACATCTTCAGGACATTTTTTAAGATTATGTTTCTTGTTATGGTATTTGGAGTTGCTCATGGCCTAATTTTCATTCCGGTATTCTTAACCTTTTTTTGAAAGTTTGACTAGTCACTAACCAATCAAAGACCAGTTGTAGAATTCCTGATTGCCCCAATCCAATCTGATAAACATGTGCTATTAAGAATAGTCAATAAACTAAAAACAAAGGGATGTTTCCTTGGTGTGGAGATCCCATTTTAAAATGTTATTTAAAATGTCCTGAGAAAAATTAATTAGTCTTACATTAAAATATCTTTGCTAAATTAGGAAGTGTTGTCATCTTTATTATGGTCTATACAATCAAGCATAAGTATAACTTTGCAGTTATTTTTTCCTTTTATTTCATCATTAGTAGTTTATGCCTGGAATTCAGATATTTTATGTATTATGCTATAAATGGAATATTATTTTCATTGTACTTCCCATATGCATTATTATGTAAAAGTGCAACTGATTATTATTTATTCTCCTAGTCTGGGGTTTTTCTATGCATGTTCTTAGTGCTGTATTTTGCTGAACTGAAGTTTTTAAGTTTTGGAATCCAATTTATCATTTTTTTAATGGTTAGTGTTTTCTGTGTCCTCTCTAAGAAATTTTTGCCTAATCCAAGATTACAAAAAATTCATCTATGTTTTCTTCTCAAAGCTAGTAGTTTTATTTTTACATTTAGGTCTATAATTCATAGACCCATGTTTGTTGGGAAGTATGGATAGAGGTTCATTGTCTTCCCATTATAGTTATCCAGTTGTCCCAGCAGCATTAGTGAAAAGACTGTCCTTTCACCATAGGGATTAATTTGGCACCTCTGTCAGAGAATCAATTGACAGTTTAAGTGTGGCTCTATTTTTGTGCATTGATCTGTTTTTCTGTCATACCACACTGCATTGATTACTGAAGCTTTCTATTAATTATTGAAATTAGGTAAGGTATCCAACATTTTTCCTCTTTTCCAAATTGTTTTGGCTACTCTAGTCTCTTTGCATTTAGATACTAATTTTAGAATCATTTGTCAATTCATCAAAAAAAATCTGGGATTTTTGATTGGGATCGTGATTGGGTTATGGTGAATCTACAGATCAATTTGGGGAAAATAGATATCTTAGCAGTATGGAATCTTCCAATCTGTGAGCATGGTTTATCTCTCCATTTTTTATATCTTCTTTAATTTCTCTCAGGCATGTCTTATAGATTTACATGGATTTACTTCTAAGAACATTAATTTATTATATCATTGTAAATATTTTAAATCCCCTTTCCATTTTTTTTACTAGTACATAAAAATAAAATTGGTTTTGGTATACCTACCTTATACTCTGTAATCTTTTTAGGTTCATTTATTAGTTCATGTAGAGTTTTTTAGTTTCTCTAATAGTTTTTATCTATGCAATTATGTAAAGGTCACATAAAGACAATTCTGTTTCTCCCTACATAAACTTTATCTTGTACTTATCTTATTGCACTGTCTTAAAATGTCCAGTAAAATGTGGGAAAATGTACTGAAAGCAGACATCATTGCCTTGTTCTCAACTTTGTAAGGAACGTGGTCAATATCTCAGGCAGTATGATTATTACCTGGAAGTTTTTCATAGCCATCTTCTGTCAGATTGTGGAAGCTCTTTTCTACATATAGTTTTCTGGGATGTTTTAACATGAATGGGTATTAAATTTTGTCAAATAATTTCTGTCCATTGACTGAGATTATCATGTCTATTTTTCTATCTTAATCTGTGAATGTGACAATTTATATTGAGTGATTTTTTAATATTATACCAACCTTGCCTTCCTAGGATGACTCACACTTAGTCGTGGCATGTTATTATTTTCATATATTGCTGTCTTTGTTTTGTTAATATTTTGTCAATGGTATATGTTCCTGTGTTCGTGAGGCATATTGGTCTACAATTCCCTTTTTTGTGATGCCTTTCTCAGGTCTTTATATCAGGGTTATGCTGCCCTCAGGAAACAAGCCAGTAAATATATATTCCTCCTCTTCTATTTTCTGAAATATATGATGTATGGTTGATATAATTCTTTTATTTCTTACTTAAATGTTCAGTAGAATTCACCAGTGAAGTCTTCTGGGCATGGAGCTTTTCTGGGAAGGATTTTTATTTCAGATTCACTTTCTTTAACACATAGAAGGACATTCAGATGTTCTTTTTCTTCTAGGATCAACGTTGGTATGTTTGGTTTTATAAGGAATTTGCCCATTTTGCTAATTGGCTAATTGATTATTTTCTTACCATTTTAATGTCTAGTGATGTCCCATGTACAGTTCTTGATATTGGTAATTTGTATTATGTACCTTATATTTCTTGATCAAGGGATTATCAATTTTATTCAATTTTTCCAAGAACCAGCCTTTGGCTTTATTGATTTCTTTTATTTCTCTATTTGCTACTTGATTGCTACACTCTTTATTCATTCTTTGAGTTTAACTTTCTCTTCATTTTCTAGCTTTTTAAGGTGGTAGGATAAGTCACTGATTTTAACATTTATTCTTTTCTAAGAAAGCTTTTAATGTGATAAATTTCCTTCTAACTAGTCTTTTAACTATCCACAAATTTCTATATGAGGGGTGTTCATTATCGTTCATTTCGAAATAAGCTCGTATTTTCCTTGTGATTTCTTCTTTGACCATGAATCAAACGATACCTTTATTTTCTCTTCATCATTTAAGAATAGTTTAACTAAGCGGTCCCCAACCTTTTTGGCACCAGGGACCAATTTCATGGGAGACAAATTTTCCATGGGCCAGGGAGGGTGGGGGATGGTTTTGGGATGATTCAGGAAAATTACATTTATTGTGCACTTTATTTCTATTATTATTACATTGTGATATATCGTGAAATAATTATACAACTCACCATAATGCAGAATCAATGGGAGCCCTGAGCTTGTTTTCACTTGCCACTCACCGATAGGGTTTTGATACGAGTCTGCAAGCAATTGATTTATGATGGTCTCTGTGCAGTCAAACCTCTCTGCTAATGATGACCTGTATCTGCAGCCGCTCCCCAGTGCTAGCATCACCACCTCAGCTCCACCTCAGGTCATCAGGCATTAGATTCTCATAAGGAGCACGCAACCTAGATCCCTTGCATGTGCAGTTCACAGTAGGGTTCGCGCTTCTATGAGCATCTAATGCCACTGTTGATCTGACAGAAGGTGGAGCTCGGGCGGTAATGGGAGCAATGGGGAGTGGCTGTAAACACAGATGAAGCTTCACTCGCTCACCCGCTGCTGACCTCCTGCTGTGTGGCCCAGTTCCTAACAGGCCACGGACCTGTACTGGTCTGTGGCCCGGGCATTGGGGACCCCTGGTTTAACTGGATATAGAATTCTAGGTTGAGAAGATGTTTTTCTTTCAGCCCTTTAAAAATGTCATTGCATTGTCTTCTTGATGCAATGCTTTGATTAGAATTCATCCTTCACTGTTATTTTTTTTAATTAATTTTTATTGGAGTATAGTTGCTTTACAATGTTGTGTTAGTTTCTACTGTACAGCAAAGTGAATCAGCTATATGTATACATGTATCCCCTCTTTTTTGGATTTCCTTCCCATTTAGGTCACCACAGAGAACTGAGTAGAGTTCCCTGAGCTATACAATAGCTTCTCATTAGTTATGTATTTTATACATAGTATCAGTGGTGTATATATGTCAATCCCAATCTCCAATTCATCCCACCCCCTTCCCTGTTTGGTGTCCATATGTTTGTTCTCTATGTCCGTGTCTCTATTTCTGTTTTGCAAATAAGATCATCGACACCATTTTTCTAGATTCCACATATGTCTGTTAACATACAGTATTTGTTTTTCTCTTTCTGACTTAACTTCACTTTGTATGACAATCTCTAGGTCCATCCATGTCTCTACAAATGACCCAACTTCATTCCTTTTTATGGCTGAGTAATAGTCCACTGTATATATGTACCACAATTTCTTTTTCCATTCCTCTGTTGATAGACACTTAGGTTGCTTCCATGTCTTGGCTATTGTAAATAGTGCTGCAATGAACATCGCGGTACATGCGTCTTTTTGAATTACGGTTTTCTCTGGGTAAATGCCCAGCAACGGGATTGCTGGGTCATATGGTAGTTCTATTTTTAGTTTTTTAAGGAACCTCCATGCTGTTCTCCATAGTGGCTGTATCAATTTACATTCCCACAAACAGTGCAAGAGGGTTCCCTTTTCTCCACACCCTCTCCAGCATTTTTGTACATTTTTTTGATTATGGCCATTCTGACAAGTGTGAGGTGATACCTCACCGTAGTTCTGATTTGCATTTCTCTAATGATTAGTGACGTTGAGCATCCTTTCATGTGTTTGTTGGCACTCTGTGTGTATTCTTTGGAGAAATGTCTATCTAGGTCTTTCATCCATTTTTGGATTGGGTTGTTTTTTTCTGATATTGAGCTTCATGAGTTTGTATGTTTTGGAGATTAATCCTTTGTTAGTTGCTTCATTTGCAAATATTTTCTTCCCTTCACTGTTATATTGATCTTCTTTATGGAATGTGCCTTTTTTTCTTCTAGCTTCATTTAAGCTTTTTTTATTATTCGTTTTCAGCCATTTGACTATGATGAGATTGTATATGGTGTTTTTTCTATTCAATCTTCTTAGGTATCTTTAAGCACTGAGGACCTGTGGCTTGAAAGTTTCTGTCATATTTGGAAATATTTTAGCATTTATTTCTTCAAATATTTTCCTGCCACATTGTCTTTCCCCTCTCCTTCAGCGACTTTAATTACAAATATGTTCTCATGATTTTTAGTTGGTTCTTAAAATTGTAATTGTCTCCAAGGTTGCATTTTATTATTAATAAATTGAAATTTATTGATACCTTTGATAAACTCTTCTCTGTAGCCCATATTTTGTTGGAAAAATACTCTTTCTACTTACGGTGAGATTCTTGGTAAGCTCAGGAAAATTCTGCTCAGTAAATGTACTTAATTATGCTTTTATGTATGGAAATATTTAAATATTTTGGTCCAAATATTTTCATCATACTGTCCATTTTTATTTCATTGAGACTGTCATTCTTAGACAAATATTTTTTAACACAAAACTCATCAACTATGTTGTCTCTATTTCTAATTATCTTGAATATTTTGCCAAACAAAATAGAGATATCACAAAATAATAGAGCTTTTCAATTTTTCTATTCATTCCAGAATGTAAATTTATCCCCCAAATGGAAGC